TTTTTGCTAAATTTGAGGTGCACCAACAAAACACTTTTCTTTGCTAAAATTATTTGTTTTTTGAATTTTTTTGAAACTTTTTTAAAATTCCACTTATAGGAAACACAGTAACAAAGTTTCAAAACTCTAAATGTTTCTGCAGTTTTTATCCTTTACTGAGAGACTGGCAGGTTGGGCGGGGCTCAAGAAATTTTGCCTCATTTATTTACTCTTTTGTGCACAATTATGAAGTCGAAAAATGATTTTTTTTGCAACTTCGAAGTTTTTATCATACAGTTACGTTGAGTGGAAAAAATGTTTCTCATACAATTCCACTGAATAGGAAAAAGTTAATAATACAATTTCTTTGAATGAAAAAATGCTAGTCATATCATTTTTATACGATTCTTTTGTTTCTTTGGAATGGTATCGAATTCTATGATAAGCATTTTTTCCATGTTATAGAATTGTCTGAGATGCATTTTGTGTCAACCAGGTTTCTCATTCGAGAGACCTTATATCCACCTCGAGGAGGAGGATATTAGTTTGATATGTTTATGACTAGGTTGGCCTGATTCAAAAGTTTATCTGCAGACACATTCCACAAAACTTTCAGATAAATTTTGAACTTGTGCAGCAATTTCCGGTGGTGCATCAACGTGCCGAAAGATCAGTTTGCCTAAATTTTTTAAAAGCAGAAAAAAAACAGATTCAAACGTAAATTCACGAAACAATTGAAATAACTTTCAATTAATACCTTACAATTTTACTAATAAAATTAGGTTATTTCAGCAAAACAGAGACAAGACTAACATAGAGTGAGACAAAACTCGTTTCGTTTGCCTAAGTTCCCGCCGAAAATAATTAAAACAATGTCAAGCCAGAAAGGTTTTGCTTTATTTCCCGTTTTTTAACCGCAGGCTGTTATTTCGGGGCGTTCATTTTTCACCAATAACCCTTATCAAAAAATTTGATTTTAAAATAACTGTTTTTTGAAGTGTTTGCCCGCTTACATTCCAGTGTGTTGGAATCAGGGCTGTCATATTGTTATGTATTTGAAAAAAACGGAGGAAAATTGAGGGTGCACGACAAAAGAGCGCGTATCAAAAGAGCGCACATTTAAATGCCAAAAGAGCGCGTACCATAAGAGCGCGTTTTAGTACCAAAAGAGCGCACTTTCAAGTACCAAAAGACCGATTGAATATGCTTTAGTGTTGATCAAAGATTGTTAGAAATTCTTTTTATTATGTAATAAGATCAGCACCATTATTTGCTTTGCAACGATCCGACATTAAATCTAGACACGATCCGTATAGTCGATCCGAGATTAATTGGTATTTTTTCTTTTTGTGTTTTTGTTCATTCATTCAAAATAATCAGCGTTAAAATTGAAAATTGTTTATCCCGCCTTTAACAGATTTGGTTGTACAAAAATTTTGGTACCTATTTTGCAATCTCCCTTCTGATTTTTCTTAAAAATCAATTTTGACTTTCGTGTGATGTAATTTTAAAAAATTCTATAAAATAATAACTAGCGCAAAAATCTTCTAAAAATTCTTCCAATAGATCAAGTGATCAGAACTTAGGTTATTTCAGCAAAACAGAGACAAGACTAACATAGAGTGAGACAATACTCGTTTCGTTTGCCTAAGTTCCCGCCGAAAATAATTAAAACAATGTCAAGCCAGAAAGGTTTTGCTTTATTTCTGAGTGGGTATACTCATTATGCATGGCTAGATCTGTACGTGAAGTTTTTCTAAGATTTGTATAATTTTGGTAAATTTATCCAAAAAAACGAAAGTTGAGTTAAAAGATCAAAAATCTTGTATGTGATGGTTATGTCTAGGTTTTGGTTTACGTTTATTGCAACAGTTTTCCCATTTCAGCTAATATCTACAGAACTTCTAACTAACACGGTCGAAAAAAAAACAAGATCAATTTTTCCTTACAACCACGGTTGCTCAACACACTTACGCTTTAGCTGGTTTATGGTGAGTTTTTTTCAGGGTTAAATTGAATGTTTATTTAGTCTTAGGGGCTAAAATGAGGATAAGATAAACCTCATAATTGTCTAATATAAAAACTGTGTCTTGTCCTACAAACATGAGGGATAAAATACTGTTTTCTTGAAGCCAAAAAAAATTCTGAATTTTTTTTGGCTTCTGAATTTAATCTGAATTCAAAAAAAATTGCATTCTGAATTTAAGCTGAACATAAATTAGATCATGTTTAAAGTTTAAAACCATTAACAAAAATGCGAACTGATATGAATTCCAATATGATTTGAAAATAAAACAAATAATACTTTCGAAACGAATTTACAGTTTAAAACCCAAAATCCCTTGGCTTCGTTGCATGAGCAGGTAAGGGGCTTGAGCAGGCAGGTTGGTTGTATTGTCGGTGATTCTGGTAGGGTTGGCTATACTGTCGTCGAGCCAGGCAAGATTGAGCAGAGTCAAGGTTGGCTGTTCTGTTGCTGTTTCTGGCAAAGTTTGGCGATTCCGTCGGTGATTCTGGCAAGGTTGGCTGCAGTGTACCGAGCTTTTGAAAGGAATCTGAAAAGACTATGTCCCACTCCTCTTCTCTCGCCAGAGATCTATTCCAGTGTTCTGTTGCAACTAGGCTTTCCAAGAAAATTGGTCAACTAAAATTTCGGCCAAGTGCACGCCGATCAAAAAAGAATTTTGGTTAAAACATAAAAGTTTTAAAAAATGATTAATCAAGGAATATCGTTAAAAACATAAAAGCTAAATCAAAAGATGAACAAAGTTGCTCAAATAACACTTGAGCAACCTTGTCTCCTTATTCAAAGCGCAGTTGATTGAAAAGTAGATTGTCTCTCCTGGCTTTTAAGGTGACTATTCTTACACCTATACCGTAAAAGACAACTTCTTTTTTACGGCATACGGCAACCAGTTTCATATTGGCCTCGTTTTTCTTCTGGATGGCGTAGTTCGCTAAACAACCCACTGAAAATTCCACTTATGAATTGGGCAATCCTCATTTGAAGCGTCGATCAATCGACTAGGACGATCCGCAACTTCCGATATGTATTCAATAAAAAATCCTGGTTTGAGGCAGTGCTGGTCGGCATTGATTTTGGTGACTCACCACCGCTCTTTCTTGAATGATTGCAAATCAATCAAATCTACTAAAAAATATATTCATTTTTTTGATTCAAAAATGAATTTTTATTATGATATACTTATTGAGTCATTTAAATTATAAGTACCTCTTCCAAAGACGAGAAATTTGACATCACATATGCCGACCTAGCTCTGGCTCAATACACGACTCTGCAACTCTTCCTGAACCTCATATGAAAAAAATTTTGTCGTTGGCGGTAAGTTTCAGGCTTCTGGATTTCTCAAGTAGCAGCAACTTTCTCTTTGATCCATCATTGAGCATTTTGATCACATGGTCAGCCTTTAGGTCATGGGTTGCATTTTGCTTCATGTAAAAGTTTGTAAGTGTACTCGAAAACTCATGAGATGTCATCTACAGAACGAAAATCTGTGGAAGCTGCCCCTGGCGAACGTAACGTTGAGAATCCTGTCGGGATTGCACTGCCAGCAGAACCTCCTCGTACGTGTATCCGTTCAATTTCTGTTGAACTTCTGAAGCTTGCTCCTTCAGCTTCTCCATCTCGAACGTAGGGTTCGTAGACAAAGGCATACGCTTTTCAAATTTACTTGTGAGAGAGCGCTTCGGCTGTTCCAGATTTATAAAAATGCTGATCTATAAAAATTGACTATGGTTACATGAAATTCCATGTCGGTTTCCATTATGATAAATAAATCTTTTTGGAAGAATTATAAAGTTTATATTGATCTACTTGGGGTTTGAATTAATCGATAAGTGGATCCCCAAAACAGCGCGTTCTTAAGTTATTTGGCCGATAACAGTTGAGTCGTCACCAAATTTTTGGTGTCCCGAGAAGACCGCTGAATAAAATAACTCATACTGCTCATCTTCAAATGGGGTCTGGCCCCATATAGTACAATATCATAACCTTTACAAGCCAGACTGGAATTCTGTGGGAGACGCGAGAAGTTGACAATATAAATTAGGTAATCAAATTGAGTCATCAGTATTTATTTTTATCAAATCAATATTTTAGATTTAAAAAGTTACCAAGAGGCTGATAGTTCTATGCTCAGCTCAACGGTAATGTGTTAGTTGCTTTTTTCCTCTATTTTGACAAACACCTGGACGACAGCCTGCACCGTGGTTTTGGTGATCATTTTTTGAGTGTCCCTGTGCATGTGAACATAAATGTGACAAGGGCCCTGAACAATGTCAATTGTTCTGTGTGGGTCAAGGTAACCGTTTCTCATGTCGGCGCAGTCTTGTCGACAGTCTGTAGAATGGTTTTTTGGGAATCTCTTTTGTTATCGGGTTTTTGGCTCGGGAGATTTTTCCAAGTTACGAAAATTAATATGTTTTAGTTTCGATATTTATTTTACCAAAATCTTTTATGCTTGTATAACGTGTTTAGTTTTGAAAATACTTCTTAAGCTTTCTATTTTGCCTACCCTATCTGGTTCTGCCTGACACTTTTGCTGCATGACTCATAAATATTTAGACCGTACGGCCGAATATTTTTTTATGAGTTTGAATCAACTAATTGAACTGTTTACTGTTTGTTGTTGTGAGTGCTTGTTATTAATTGAGCTCTTTAAATTAACCTTAATTTGCATCACTCATTTTACTGTATGCAGTTGTATTATGGTCTGAAAAACATAACGGCCCGCCAATGTTGCTCATAGAGAGTAAATCATCTGTTTAAAGTAATTTGTTCTTAGGTAGTAATTTATTTAGGGAAGTAATTTAAAAATTCGTTTTAGATAAAAATTAACAAAACTTGAACTACTACAGCCAAAAAAAAATGTATTTCCTTCAAAAACAAAATTATGTTCCTGAAAAGATTGATTTATCAAATTATATGTTCGCAATTTGAAAATACTTGAAAAAAGCTAAATATAAATATTTTTATTTCAATTGAAATGATTGAAATGAACTGTTAAATTTAGATGAGTTTACTTCATAGTTTGTTCAATATGTTCAATTTGCAGGAACTCAGATTGATGGCAAGAACTGAGATCATATTTGGGTTGACAGGAATTGAGATCAAATTGAGGTTGATGGCAGGAATTGAGATCAAAATTGGGTTGACAGGAATTGAGATCGAAGTGGTATCGGAATTGAGATCGAAGTTTGGTATGTTTGACAGGAATTGAAATCGAAGTTAGGTTACAGGAATTGAGATCGAAGTCAATTTGACAAGAATTGAGGTTGACAGGTGTTTCGACTGGTAGCTGATCAACGTAGTATTTGAGATTGAACTTGCTGGTGACCACCTATAATTAAAAGACATAATTTAAAACGTTACTACATGTAAACATATATGTAAAGGGAATACCCAAACAAAATGCGGATAACATTTATAATTGGCGGATTCCATTTACAATTTGAGGATTCCACTTACAGTTGCGGAATCCGCAACAGCTCAATTTAACCATACAAATGCCTTATTATTTGTTTGTGGAGTCCACAACTTGTTCTGGATTCCGCAAATACAGTTTTAGGTATTTCACTGTGGAATCGAAAACAGCAGAAAAGATCAACAAAAAGTACCAATGTTGCTGATTCAGCGACAAATCTGATTTGACTTGTTGGGGATTCTTCTTACTATGCACAGAATGCACAGTTCGGCATCGTAATGTCCGCAATAGTAAACAGGGGACTTTAATTAAATTGACATAATACCAAAGTTGAATGTTTTGATTATGCCTAGGCAATAGTAGGTAAATCACATTTGTAGTCATGCAGATCAAAAACTATGTAATGGCAAAAAACTTCTAAGAGGTTGTTTAGTCTACAAAAATAATCTAAACAAGTTTGTTGCGAAATACTAGAGGAAAAGGTGAAGTTGAGGTAAAATTGAATTTGAGAATGATTTTCATTTCCTAAACTTAGATCGCTTTCCGTCACCATAGTTGTAATAAGGTAGTCGCTTTGACGTTAAGCTGTTTTTGATTTCACAATTGGAGGACAGCATAGTGGGTTCAATTGTCGAGGGTAATTCGAGTCTGTACAGATAGTTGGGGTTCCATGTCAGTTGGGATCCAATCGAAGATCTCTTCAACTCCAATAGTATTATCTGCCAGACACCAGTTTCCTCTTGGCAACTCCCCATGGCCAATCTAGTAGAGCATTGGCTTGTAGTAATTGACTTTGCAAAATTTGACTTCACAAAATGTAGTTCTTGACTTTGCAATTCTTCCCGCATTCTGTTCGATTGCGGGAAGAATACTTGACATCCACAAGTGGGATCCAACAGATAAAAAGAGGAAGTGGTTTATTTCCTAAAGGTCAAAGTGTGGACTTTGTGAACATGAAGAGGGCTCCTGGCCATCAACTGCACAAAAAAGTTCAAAAATTTAAAAAGAAAAAAGCAGATTTGAAGTAGAACATTCAGATTTTTTCAAGTTTTGTACGTCAAGAACTACAAACCAATGCTATACTACAATTTTTTCAATGACCATAAAGCATCAAAAGAGGTAAGTAGACCAAAGATATTCATTAATAATCCTTAAAGCAATTTTAAAAATTATTAATGATTGCAGTAATCAGCCCACACTCCTCCGAAACACGAGTCTGTACAGATAGTTGTGGTTCCCTTTCAGTTGAGATCCAATCAAAGATCTCTTCAATTCCAATAGTACCATCTGCCAGACAGCACTTTCCTCTTGGCAACTCCCCATAGCCAATCTAGTAGAGCATTGACTTGTAGTAATTGACTTTGCAAACATTGATTTTATAAGATGTAGTTCTTGGTTTGCAATTCTTCCCGCATTCTGTTCGATTGCGGAAGAATACTTGATATCGACAAGTGAAATCCAACAGATAAAGAAAGGAAGTGGTTTATTTTTTTAAGGTCAAATTGTGGACTTTGTGAACATGGAGAGGGCTCTTGGCCATCAACTCCACAAAAGAATTCAAAATTTCAAAATGAAAAAAGCAGATGTGAAGTAGAACATTCAGATTTTTTCAAGTTTTGTACGTCAAGAACTACAAACCAATGCTGTACTACCATTTTTTCAATGACCATAAAGCTTCAAAAGATGTAAGTAGACCAAACATAATCATTTATAATCTTTCAAACAGTTTTAGAGATTGTTAATGAACGCAGTAATCAGCCCACACTCCTCCGAAACACGAGTATGTACAGATAGTTGGGGTTCCATGTCAGTTGGGATGCAATCAAAGATCTCTTCAATTCCAATAGTACCATCTGCCAGACACAATTTTCTTCTTGGCAACTCCCCATAGCCAATCTAGTAGAGCATTGGCTTGTAGTAATTGACTTTGCGAACATTGACTTTACAAAATGTAGTTCTTGACTTTGTAATTCTTCCCGCATTCTGTTCGATTGCTGGAAGAATACTTGATATCCACAAGTGGGATCCAACAGTTAAAGAGAGGAAGTGGTTTATTTCTTTAAGGTCAAAGTGTGGACTTTGTGAACATGGAGAGGGCTCTTGGCCATCAGCTGCACAAAAGATTTCGAAATTTTAAAATGAAAAAAGCAGATGAGAAGTAGAACATTCAGATTTTTTCAAGTTTTGTACGTCAAGAACTACAAACTAATGCTGTACTACCATTTTTTCAATGACCATAAAGCTTCAAAAGAGGTTGGTAGACCAATAATGTTCATTAATAATCTTTAAAACAGTTTTAGAGATTCTTAATGAAGGCAGTAATCAGCCCACACTCCTCCGAAACACGAGTATGTACAGATAGTTGGGGTTCCATGTCAGTTGGGATCCAATCAAAGATCTCTTCAATTCCAATAGTACCATCTGCCAGACAGCAGTTTCCTCTTGGCAACTCCCCATAGCCAATCTAGTAGAGCATTGGCTTGTAGTAATTGACTTTGCAAAATTTGACTTCACAAAATTTAGTTCTTGACTTTGCAATTCTTCCCGCATTCTGTTCGATTGCGGGAAGAATACTTGACATCCACAAGTGGGATCCAACAGATAAAAAGAGGAAGTGGTTTATTTCCTAAAGGTCAAAGTGTGGACTTTGTGAACATGAAGAGGGCTCCTGGCCATCAGCTGCACGAAAAAGTTCAAAAATATTTAAAAAAAAGCAGATTTGAAGTAGAACATTCAGATTTTTTCAAGTTTTGTACGTCAAGAATTACAAACCAATGCTATACTACAATTTTTTCAATGACCATAAAGCATCAAAAAGGTAAGTAGACCAAAGATATTCATTAATAATCCTTAAAGCAATTTTAAAAATTATTAATGAACGCAGTAATCAGCCCACACTCCTCCGAAACACGAGTCTGTACAGATAGTTGTGGTTCCCTTTCAGTTGGGATCCAATCAAAGATCTCTTCAATTCCAATAGTACCATCTGCCAGACAGCACTTTCCTCTTGGCAACTCCCCATAGCCAATCTAGTAGAGCATTGACTTGTAGTAATTGACTTTGCAAACATTGATTTTATAAGATGTAGTTCTTGACTTTGCAATTCTTCCCGCATTCTGTTCGATTGCGGAAGAATACTTGATATCGACAAGTGAGATCCAACAGATAAAGAAAGGAAGTGGTTTATTTCTTTAAGGTCAAATTGTGGACTTTGTGAACATGAAGAGGGCTCTTGGCCATCAACTCCACAAAAGAATTCAAAATTTCAAAATGAAAAAAGCAGATGTGAAATAGAACATTCAGATTTTTTCAAGTTTTGTACGTCAAGAACTACAAACCAATGCTGTACTACCATTTTTTCAATGACCATAAAGCTTCAAAAGAGGTAAATAGACCAAAAATAATCATTTATAATCTTTAAAACAGTTTTAGAGATTATTAATGAACGCAGTAATCAGCCCACACTCCTCCGAAACACGAGTATGTACAGATAGTTGGGGTTCCATGTCAGTTGGGATGCAATCAAAGATCTCTTCAATTCCAATAGTACCATCTGCCAGACACAATTTTCTTCTTGGCAACTCCCCATAGCCAATCTAGTAGAGCATTGGCTTGTAGTAATTGACTTTGCAAAATTTGACTTCACAAAATGTAGTTCTTGACTTTGTAATTCTTCCCGCATTCTGTTCGATTGCTGGAAGAATACTTGATATCCACAAGTGGGATCCAACAGTTAAAGAGAGGAAGTGGTTTATTTCTTTAAGGTCAAAGTGTGGACTTTGTGAACATGGAGAGGGCTCTTGGCCATCAGCTGCACAAAAGATTTCGAAATTTTAAAATGAAAAAAGCAGATGTGAAGTAGAACATTCAGATTTTTTCAAGTTTTGTACGTCAAGAACTACAAACCAATGCTGTACTACAATTTTTTCAATGACCATAAAGCTTCAAAAGAGGTTAGTAGACCAATAATGTTCATTAATAATCTTTAAAACAGTTTTAGAGATTCTTAATGAAGGCAGTAATCAGCCCACACTCCTCCGAAACACGAGTATGTACAGATAGTTGGGGTTCCATGTCAGTTGGGATCCAATCAAAGATCTCTTCAATTCCAATAGTACCATCTGCCAGACAGCAGTTTCCTCTTATCAACTCCCCATAGCCAATCTAGTAGAGCATTGGCTTGTAGTAATTGACTTTGCTAACATTGACTTTACAAAATGTAGTTCTTGACTTTGCAATTCTTCCTGCATTCTGTTCGATTGCGGGAAGAATACTTGATATCGACAAGTGGGATCCAACAGATAAAAAGAGGAAGTGGCTTATTTCTTAAAGTTCAAAGTGTGGACTTTGTGAACATGAAGAGGGCTCTTGGCCATCAACTGCACAAAAGAATTCAGAATTTTGAAAAGAAAAAAGCATACGTGAAGTAGAACATTCAGAATTTTTCAAGTTTTGTTACGTCAAGAACTACAAACCAATGCTCTACTACATTTCTTTCAATGACCATAAAGCTTGAAAAGAGGTTGGTAGACCAAAGATGTTCATTAATAATCTTTAAAACAGTTTTCAAATTTAACATGAAAATTGTATGATAAGCATTTTTTTCTATAGACGTCAACCCGGGAACACTCATGATAATTTTTATTGTCGCTGAAATAATAACAAAGATTTGTAATTTCAGACTTGGTTCGGATACCGCTTAAATATGCAGTTTGGACCAAGACTAACTTGGTTTTAACTATTAAAATTGTATCTATAAGCTGCAGCAACATTTAGAGAGAATAAAGAAAAATTATTTTGATTTTATTCTCAGCTTTTTTGAAAACAAAGTACAACAATTTTGAAAACACAATAAACCACTTTGTGAAAAAGAGTCATGTTTTAACTCCAAATCTGACCATATACCAATTTTGTATGCCACAGCACGTGCCTCACATTTCTGCATGTTTTAAACCTCTGGTTAATTATTAGTTAAGTCTTATTTTCTTCTTGAAAAAACTAATTGTGAACTGCTACGGTTATTTTTTATACCAAATCAGAAAGTATCATTTAAATAATGGACAAAAAGCTCAAAATCAAATGCCGCAAAATAACATGCTGACCCAAGTTGCTTGAACTGCGACCATGCGAACAAAGTCTACAGCTTTTTCAAGACACTATTAAATCAAACTTCTCTACATAACACCAAACCGAAAAGTACAGAAACTAACCCGTGCTTGAGAGTAACTTAACTTGCAGACATGGCCACTGGAAAACAATATCGCTGACATACGTTGTACAAGGCTTACAGCTTTTATACGTTAAGCCATGCCAGTCGTCAGACAACTATGACCCAGCTAGGAATGCCTAAAACATGCCGAAATTTCAGTCATTTTAATCGGACCTGCAAAAGACGTTTATCACGTTTCTAGATAAACCGTTCAAAAACCGCTCAAACCGCCCATTTTGAAGCAAGATTTTGAGCGTAATTGTTTAAAAAACACAGCTCAAACCGCTCAAATTTTGCTTCAAATTAGGTGAAAAATCTCGACTCGGGTAGTTATTATTGAAGTTGACAGCACTCATCATCATATGATTCAGCAACTGAAACAAATCAATGAATCACATCTTAAAATTAGTAAAATTTTACTTCTTTTCATTTGGTGAATGTTGACATTTGACCTAGATGAATATCGTCTCGAGCACATTGTGCAGCGATTTTGACCCTACGGTTCAAAATGAACAATGGGCTAATACTTTGACAGATTTGGTTAAACTTTAAGCAACGAATAATCTGTCGGACCAATTTTAACAAAAAAAACATATGTTCTTTAATTCGAGTTTGTCATGTAAATTGTTTTACTCGTACAACGCCAAAAATTAAGACTCAATTTTTTTCGATTTAGTTGTCGGCAACTTTCTATTTTCTTAAAACAAGCAAGACAGTGTTGTCTGTAAAAAGAAAAATTCGTCATTGAGAGCGATATTATTCAGCAATTATTGTAAAATTCTTACCTAAAGTCATAGTGCTTGCATGGCTTAAAATAAGGGCAAAAAACAGCGCATTTGCAATGGTGGCAAAAAGTAACCGAAAATTTGATCGAGTAAGCAAAGCTAGTCTTATCACTATTCCATTGATATCTTATCAAAATTTTCCATTTAAGCAAGCATTTTTTCTCTTGTCGATTTACTTCGAAATGATCCAATTTATGCTAAACAAACGTCTACTGAGATTCCCGTTGGTTACCGGTACAAAAAATTTGAACTGTAAATTGCTGAAAATTTTGAAAAGCACAGTTTATAACTAAATTGGGGTTAAAACTTATTTAAGGGAGAAAAGGGATAATTTATAAATTGGTCAAAACGGGGATCCCCGACTTGCTCCTTGATAATAGAAACGACATAACAAGATTGTTTGTATGCGGACAAAACCTTAAGCATCTGGTTGCCCATAAAAGTATCTGAAGTAGCTTTTTCTTGAAAAATGATACACCGAGGCAAAGCGAAGATTCGCACTACTTGCGATAAAGCAGGAAATATAAGTCGAAAAAAATGAAAAATGTAGAAACAAAACTAGATGAACTAAAATTTTCCTTATTCTTGATGAAAAACAACTAGAAGCCAAACAAAAACTGGAACTACGTGTTTGATATTATTGAATTTGTTATACTGATGCGGCACGAAATGTGTGATTTTCAAATTGGACGTTGCCTAAAACCTCTGCTAAAGAAAATCTTAGGAGCATAACAGCCCTCTTGAAAAAATTATGGAGTAATCTCTTCTTGATAAAAAAAGTTTCGCAACCGGGTCTTCGATTGAACGTCTCAGATTTGAGGTAGCTGCTAAATAGTTCAAAAGTTTTTAAATAACGAAAATATGACTATCAGAAATCCATAACACTTTTTTTGCAAAAAGCAGGTAGTGGCCACTGAAGTAGAGATTGCTGCCAAATCTCAATTGAACACGTAACCTGAGAATTGGCACGATAGTTTTCGAGTAAAGTCAAAAAGTTTCCAAAAAGCGGTCCAAACTTTAAAACTTCAAGACCATATATGGGGTTACGCTTTCTACCACCCGTGTTTCGATTAAACCGATCATGTCATAATTGGCTTCATTTCAGATTTGAAAAAAAATTCTGAAAAACGGTTAAAAAAAGTTATGACTTTCGAAGAGCCATTTTTTTAATGAAAAAAATTTGGACCTAGTCGCCTCTGCAAAGGAATTTACGACAACCCGTTTTTTGAATTGAGCCCGAAATCTCTGATATGGAAGTGTGGAAGAAAAAAACGGTCAAAAATTCAAAAACTTGACTGTTCCGAGCGCAATAATTGTTTGTGTAGAAACTTTATGTGTTGCCACTAATGCAGCGGAACCTCCAAGTGTCCATTTCGCCATTGAATCCACAATAGCTGATTTGTGAGGTTATTTTCGAGAAATGTCAAAAGTTTCAAACAAACGATCAAAAAACCTTATCGGCCGAACACAATTAAGCGTAGCCGCTTATGCAAGAAAGTTTTTTAAAGTCCGTTCTATTAAATGAAACAAAAATCTCAGTTTCGGGACGTTCGTTTTTCAGAAAACGAAAAAAAAAATCAAAAACATGTGTGAAGTATTCCACACACTGACTTTATTGGTCCAGTTAAAAGAGCTAGCGGATTATGCAAGCACACATGGGAAAACTAAAATTTTGATAAAAATGTGAAAAAAATTCCACAGTTTCTCAAAAAAAAACTGAAATAAAAACACAATCCCCCAAATTTTCATATTTTTTTTCCATCAAACAATAAATCTAGGCGATAACGCCTAGTGAAACATTTGAACTATAAATTAATAAAAATCAAAACTTACAAAGTAGAAACAAAGCCGATAATCTTTGAACAGACACCAGTTGAGCAAAAAAAACTTGATTTCACAAGAATTTTCAAAAAAAATTCAAGTCCCCCCTAAAACTATGATGAAAAACACTTCCACCTACTATAATAGTTAGTTACAGCGCAAGAAAACTTTGCTTAGTTACAGCGCAAGTGGCAACTAATCCGACAAAACATGAACAAATAATTAAAAAGTTGACGAATCAATTTCTACAGTAATTTGTTTTTTCAAATGATTGCATGCTCAAAAAATAATACAAGGTCTGACCGGTATTCGAACCCCGGACCTTAGGGTGCAAAGGCAACGGCAAATGAGAAAAATGTTAAGATTCAGTGATAAAGGAAGATGAAAGATTGTAAGAAAAATTGTTTTCGGGAAAAACGTCTGATCTCGATTACATGACACCTGTTTTCAAAAGTGTAAGAATTTTTAAAAAAATCAAATCTTGCTGAAATTTTTGCAGAAATTAACACATCTTGAGGCGGTCCTTGGAGCAATATATTTTTTTCCTAAATCAGTGTTAAAAACATTTTGAGTCGGATATTTTTTTACAGTGCGTGCTAATAAATATAATAAAACTAGCGCATTTATTTTCAAACTACCAATACTTTAAAGAAAGTCATTATGGATGAAATTTTATTTGAGTTCTCAACTCAGCGCATTAATATCTTTCAGACTGAGAATTTCCAAAAAAGCTAGTTCAAAAGCTTATTTAGGAAAAAAACAAAACTGCTCATATCAAAGCGAGTGCCGTTTATGGCTGATTAAGTAGCTTTATTATTGATAATAATCTCATTATAGCAAACCTATTTTTATTAACAATTTTTAGACCTAAAATTTTTTTCCAAATGAAAATGTTGCTAAATTATAATTCGTAGACTGTCAAATTGTTTAAGAATAACCACAAGCTCAAAAATATTGTCCTTTTTTTGCTAGTTGGAACAATAAAAAACACAACTACATTTATTCTATCATTTGATCAAATTTTTGAACAAAACAGCAAGCATTTATTTAGTTTCACTTCTTTAAAGTTTTTGTAGCTTATCATTTTTTCTTAGTTTTGAAGCGCATAAACAAATCGAAATGGCTGCACTGGTATTTAACTGTTATGCGCAATCACATGACTTGATCAATACGCTCCAATCTTACAAACAAAAAATCTTTTTTGCAAACAACCAATACTGCATGACAGTAAAATCGAATACAAAGACAGTCGGTTGCTGTGCTAATAGCATAGAATGTTCCGACCACATTTAGAAAAAAAGTTCAAAAACTTTCAACAAATACTGTGTTTTTTTTTCTTATGAAAGCGCCCATTAAGTTTTCTATTAAATTTTCATTGTGAGACCTACTCATTCGCAATTCTTAGTTTTTAAACGGTTGTTCTCAACACTGGATAAGCATATAGAATTTTTTGAAGTTTTTCAAATCACAACTTAAAGGAATGTACTCTTGTTTATAGTCCACAGAACCTTTCACTATATTTCCTAGAAATAAAGAGGAGATATCAGAAGCCCTTAACAGGCCTGTCTAAGGATAGTCAACTTGTGGCCTTTCCAGTCATATTCTCGAAAAATTTTCAAAAATGTTTAGTTTAAAAATGGCCTGAACTTTCCCTCAAAATAGAATTTTTCTTTGTTTTCAATGCCATGGAACTTTCTGTCATCAATGCTTTGTAGTTTGCAAAATTTGTTCATTTGCTACATACTTGAAATGAAAACAATGGACTAAATATTAGTGTGGAGCAGATTTTTCCTCGATTTTTGGTACCTCAAGTAACAATGAGTTTTCAAGTGCGGTGTCATTTTAACGCCCTTTTGATGGCGATTCGCAATCATAAATAGCTTCAAAAATTTTTCCTGTTTCGAGAGAATTCGTCTACCTTTCTTGCATTTTTCAACTTACACTCAGGAAGTAAGCGAGGAATTTTTTACGTAAAAAAATTTGGTGAATTTAGGTGAAATTTAGGAGCTATTTGTCTTTTTAAATAGTTTTACCTTTTCATATTTCTGAGAGAGGAACGATTGGCGCTACTTACACAGCATCCTTCTTTATTTGAATATCTTAAAATTAACCTTTTCGATAATAATAAGCTCTCCAGACAAACAAATATCTGAGTATTTATCAACTTGCTATCTTTTCTGCCTCAGAAAACTATCAAAAAAGAGTTGTATTATTAAAAGCAAAAAGATAGATATTTAATATTGAACTTGTTCTATTCCAATTTCATAGATTATTTGAAAGACTGAAATCTCACATGCAGAACAAGTTCACAGAATCTTCAAGAGATATTTAATTTACTAAAACATTAAAAATAAGTTATTGGTTGAACCGCGTTGCAAGCGAGATATCGAATTAATTAATTTAACCCTGAATAGAACTACTAGTGATGATTAATAACAACAACACCATGGCAATAAGAATGAAACAATACGATTACATAATACATCACAATTCCTAATTTCAAACAGCTGCTGAAGTTAACTTTTAAGGGGCGAGCGACCTTCACTTCGAGTTTTCGAATGTACAAAAAACGCTAACTGCGATGAAAATGTTTCGTAAAAAATGTTGAAGCGTCTATTGCGATTTTATTTTATTTCAAATGAGAATCTATTTGAGAAAATTACAGGTTTAAAATCCGATATCAAAAAATTTTCAGTTAAAAATTTTTAAAGGTAAACTTGACAGCTTGGATTTGTTTAAACTTAATAATTTATCTACTGCACCTAAGCGAACTACTCACCCAGCTTTGCTGTAATTAAATTTGATTCAATATTTAGGTAAGGTTGGTTAGTCAGAAAAGAAAACAACACAGGTTTGTGTGATAAGGAGGGTCATTAAGGCAATTCAAAACAAATCAACACAATAGAAATTCAGACAAATCATTCTTTGTTGGTTTAATAATGAGCAAAGTGTAGTATAAAATATCAAAAGTAGATATAAAAAGATTAACAGTTTCACTTTTAAATTGAGCCCAATTATGCCCATTGTGCATACATCCATCTGATTTACATCAGGGTCCAGAGTTGCAAACTTCAAGTTCATTCCTACCATAATAAGCAATGCAAGACTGTTTTCGTTTTCGGCGCCAATAGAATTGTTTATTGAAAGTTTGATTTCTGCAAAGTTCCAGCATTGATATTTTCTGTTTAATTGTTGTCGATTTGGGAAGAGCCGTTTTAGGAACTGAGTTCTGGGACGACGCTGATTGCATTGTGCTTGTCGCCCTCTTTGTCTACGCATTTCTAAAACAAAACTCATCATTATTTCAAGCATCAAGTCAGGTCGGAACATTCTGTGCTATTTACACAGCCGCCCGGTCTTCTTCCTAAACTCTGGAAAAAGAGAATTCCAAACGTTCGCAAACTACTCTGCGTCTGATGCTCATTATTTTTTTTACATGGCAACCTTTAAAACCTATACAAGACAAATACACATTCAATTTTAGTCCCATAATTCTTCATCGGTGGGTCAAATCGGTTCCAATAAGATAGTTCTCCGAAAAAAAAAACATCTCAAAGGCTTTTCAACTAGTTCAACTACCTGCTGATGCACATTTAGTGATAACTCATAGATGGCCTTAAAGCTCTTTGAATTTCTAGAACCATTTATGATTGGCACTTTGTTGATAAAAAAATTCCTCTTTGAGAAAACTGAATCAATAGGTAAGTTAAAAAGTGAAAAAGTAAATTTGAGAGCCAGAACAAAATTTAAAACTATTCCTGGAAAAAAATCATTGCGACCTCATATAATTCCTGAAATTAGTTTATATAAACGATACCTGTGAGTCATTGATTTGCCACTCTCCGTCGACAAAATACTTGTACATGTAGTCTCCAGCAGTCAATTTCAATGAACCCTTGAACACTCCGTCTTCACTAGAGACATACAATTACATCAAAAATACATAACTACATATAATACAATTACATCAAAAAATTACGGGTCATTATTCGTTAATTTCAAAAGCACTGTTGAGATGAATCTGCCATTTTTCTAGAAGTTTGCTTGGTTGCCAGATTTTTGATAGTCAAAATTTTCCCAAAGGCTTCCCTTCGATACTAATTTAAAGCATCCATTTGTAAATTCGCCGTTAGCGCCAATGTAACTCTTTTTGAGGTGCGGGCACCCACCGAGAAAAAAATTCCTTAACCGCAAACCTTCGGAAAAATGCTCAAAAAAGTCATGAAATTGACAACATATTTTGCTACTTTTTTGTTACCTATTGTGCTACAAATCGGACCATTGTAGGGCTCAGACAAAGCTTTAAAAAAATTCACTGTTCTACATTGTTTGTATATTCGACTTTCTATAATTCGAAATCATTTGTGATTGATGAAGTGAGTTATATCAAACCTCTTGTTGAGCTGGAGTTCCTCCCAATTGTTGAAGTCTCCTCTCACACTCACTTTCTCAGCTTCGCCTGTCCAACTGAACTCAACCTCTTTCTCTTCGGCACTTGTCTCTTCCTCTTTCTTTGCGGCTTCTTCTTCTTCTTCTGCGCCACTGTGTCCATTGACCTTTGGCGGATCTTCTTCAGTTTTTACTGCTTCCTCCTCAGCAGCCTAAAATCACACATGAGTCACCATCGTAACCTCACTTAACTAACTTCTGCAACGAAAAAAAGTTATATTTTCCAGTCCATCCAGTTATATTTTTCCAGTTGAAAATGAGCAACTCAGTTATTGTTGACCAGTAATTTCTACAAAAAATCTACAAGAAACTTGAAAAATACTGCAAAATTAATTAAGAAAATGAAAAACTGTAAGAAAGAACAGATGGAAATTTGTTCCTAAGCTTAGACCGTAATGCTAAGCTCTGGATTACGTGCTTTATTGTTATAACACTGAATACAAAAACTTAAGACAACAATGACCGACTTTGATCGAAAAAAAAATGAACTCGTAACATCATAAAGGCTTTTGCTTGTGTAATACTTAGTACCTTCAGTACCTTAGTCGTCTTCACCTCGTTGACAACCTTCTGATTCGATTTGGCAGCAATTTTCGTATTTTGAGCAGTTACCTCACTTTCATTATGGGACCACCGATTCCTCAAATTGCCCTTCTTTACTTTCATCACACTTTTAGTTCCCGCTTTTACATCTTTATTTTCACTCATTTCCACGTTCACAGGTTGTTCGAATTTCTCTTCGTTCGACGTAACAGCCTGTTCGGAACTATTTGCCTCTTGCCTTGATAACCCATCATTCTCAATTGACTTTTCGCCCGCCTGCCTATTCAATCTACTTGCTTCGCTCAACGCCCACTGATCACTAAGACCTACGACCATTGATGGTCTTCGATCCACTTTCTTAATTTCTTCCTCATCAACCGCACTTTTCGGAACTTTCTTTCCTCTTTTGACCTTGAAGTCGTCTTCATCGGCAACATTTTCGTGTATATCTCCCGTGATTGTGTGCATTCGAGTCATTACCGCCTTTTGCCTTTCTGGCGTTTCATACACGTGCTTTTTCTGGACAATCTTCAATTTGTCCACGCCTTCATCGTGATCGATTTCGAGATGCTTTTCCTCTATTACGTAATACGAATCAATTGGTTTCTTTTCAGGCCAGCTCGTTCCGACTTCCTTTTTAGGAGAAATTCGTTCAGCTTCTTTCTCTTTTATTGCACTTTTGATCACTTCCTTAACTTCCGATGACAGAAATTGATTGAGTTCATCTTCAGTTAGAAACTGACTCTAAATTGAGAATCAGATTCAATTTTTATGATCATTTTAGATCAGTCCAAACTCCATTCCAAATCCACACGTTGAAGTTTTCAGAGACTAACGCGCCTGTTATTTGCAGTACCCAATGTGATATGATGCAATACATGGTGAAAGTTAGCGGCAACCCAAAAGTAAACAATAGCAATTAATGAGCGTGTCAAAAAAACAACGACCAAAACAGAAATTCCTATTGGAATCAGACGAAAGTAATAAACCGATACAAAACGAGAGGAATACACCAAAACATGAATATGAAACCGTTTCGAGAAAGCAAAATAAAAAGTCTGTTAGTCAATTGAAAAACGAATAAAAGCAAAGCGAGAACCAACACCAATTTCTGCATGCCTCGGACCAAACCTTATTCCCCTCTCTGTTTTCCGCATTGTCCACAGAAACTGACATTTTTTGACCAGCCTTGCTTAAGGCCCACTGATCATTCAGTGTAACGGTCATCGATGGTCTTCGATCCATTTTCTTCATTTCTTCCTCATCAACTGCCCTTTTCGGAACTTTATTTCCTCTTTTGACCTTGAAGTCGTCTTCATCGGCAACATTTTCGTGTATATCTCCCGCGATTGTGTGCATTCTAGTCATTACCGCCTTTTGCCTTTCTGGCGTTTCATTTATGTGCTTTTTCTGGATAATCTTCAATTTGTCCACGCCTTCATCGTGATCGATTTCGAGATGCTTTTCCTCTATTACGTAATACGAATCAATTGGTTTCTTTTCAGGCCAGCTCACTCCGACTTCCTGTTTAGGAGGACTTCGTTGACTCTAAATTGAGAACCGTATTCAGTTTTTTAATTCATTTAGGGATCAGTCCAAACTTCATTCCAATTCCACACCTTGAAGATTTCAAGATTTATCAGAAGAACCCAATGTGATATGATGCAATAATAAAATTAGAATCTTAGTAGCAAACCAAAAGTGAGCCAACAAAACAACATAAAAATTTGGAAAAAAAACCCATCAAGAAATTAATGAGACAACCAAAAATTTAACTAAACAGAAATTCAAATTTAAACCAAACGAGAATCATGAACCAATCCGATATCTCTAGAGGAATACGTCAAAACAGACAAAACACGAATGATATGAAACCGTTTCAAGGAAGCAAAAGAAAAAGCCTTGTTAGTCAGTTGAAAAACGAAGTCAAAGCGAGAACCAAAATGAAATTCTTAAGCCACATGCCTCGGATCAAACCTTGTTCTCCTCTCCCTTTTCAGAATTGTCCTCGGATACTGACACTTGTGGAACTGCCTCGTTTAGAGCCCACTGACCATTCAATCCAACTGAAATCGATGAGTTTCGATCCACTTTAGTAATCTCTTCTTCGTCTACCGTTCGTTTTGGAGTTTTCTCTCCCTTTTTGATCTTCACATCATCTTCATCTTCTGTATGTTTGTGAAAATCTCCAGCAATTGAATGCATTCGAACCATCACAGCCTTCTGTCTTTCTGGTGTTTCCTTAACTACGTGCTTCTGGACAATTTTCAATTTATCAACGCCCTCGTTATGGCTTATTTCCAAATGTCTTTCTTCAATCAAGTATCCCGGATCGCCCCTGGAGTTTCCAAGCCATTTCCCTTTTCCGATAGCCGCTTTCTAAATTGATTTTTAAATTTATCTTAATTCATTGAGCTTGCGATTCGACGTTCAAGTAACTGTCTGATCTCAGTGGTTGTGAGTTGGATTCTTTAGGCCATTCGCAACTTCGGTTAGTTGGGCCCACAAAACCTTTGAGATGCGGTAAATCTCGTGTTGAGGCCGATGAGAAGGTGTCCAATTAAGCGATTGTTTATTAGTTCAAAAGTGCATAGAGCGAGATGCAAATGTTAGCTAATAGCACTCAATATTGCAGGTCCTTAAAATTTCCTCACGAATGCTAAACTATTCTTTATTCTTATTTTAGCATAAAATTGGCATTGAAATTGAGCAAATAAAAAATCAATTAATTGTACCATTTTTCAGAGAAAAACGTTTTAGGTTTTGTTTGTATTAAATAAGATGAAACATTCTGTGATACTTCAACAGTAATCGGTTCTCATATTTCATAGCTTGGTTTGAGCCCCACGCATAAAGCACAAAGCAAAACCGAGTAAAACAGGTCAAACCGCCAAGATATTTATTTTCACATATAAATCTGAAAATCTGATCAACAAAAATCAAGAGAAAAAAATTACTTCTACAAAAAAATCGGGCTAAAATTGGGAAAAAACTTACCTTATCTGTCTCCTCTTTCGTTTCCTCTTCGGCCGTGGTGGTTCCATTGACTACAGTCGTTTCTTCGGTTGTCGTCGTTTCTACCTCCTTTGGTTTATCGGAAGACTCTGTTTCTACGGTATTAGTCGTGGTTTTTGTAGTTTCCGTCGTTCCGTCGCTAGTCGAGAGAGTGGAGGTCGTTATTACTGTTGTCTTCACGACTGTCATCGAGCTTGAACTCTCCTCTGAGGTGACAAGATCCTAAACAACTCAACGTTTAGATACAGCAAATAAGATTTCAGCTCACCTAACTTTACATTATTCGTTAACTTAGAAAAACTCTATTTAGACATTGAAAAGTGAAAATTAATAGGGTAGAAAGATTTATCATAATAGCTCATCTTTGGACAGCATTGACCGCTGTAAACATTGAAACGCCCAAGAAACTCGCAAATAACACGCCAGGAAATCGCAAATAAACAACTAAACCATTTCACAAAATCATCTTAAAATTCATGATACACCCATTTAAAATCATTTCAGAAGATTGATTGACAGTTGAACTTGTTCACATTGGTCAGTCCTTCACGAATTGACCCTTTTCTGACACGGGTCAAAGTCTTCTTAACTCGTAGCAAACAACCAATGCGGGTTACCAAATACTAGTCAGAAATTATGAGACTAATAGCCGTTTTACTTTGCAACACTATCGGATCATCATCGTGACTTAGTTTAGTTTCTTAAACTATTAAGTTTGACAGAAACGAACATGACAATTTCTAACATGACAGTTTCTGTACTTTGAACAAACCAAGCAACGTCAACATGGCGACAAGGACTATCTCGATTTGGAACAGCCCAGATCTATTGAATTGTCAAAACAAAAACACAATTCTAGCAGCTGTGATACATCACTGTAGTTGAGCAATCAGAAAAACCAAGATGAAGCGATTGCTACTTTAGTTAGTAGTTTTAAAGCACAAAAAAGAACAAATAACGCTATTTCCGAAAAAAAATACAGCATAATTTTTCCTCGTGAACCCATTTTTTCTAAGTCAAACCAATCATACTAGTACCAGAACTTCAAAATCAGAAATAATTTGAGCCAATTTAACGTTTAATTGCAATTTTTGAAATTGTTAGAGAAAAGCACCCGAATGTCCATCTACGTGGTGTGTTCCGAAAGATACAAATCGAATTCATGTGACATGTAAATTGTTAATGAAGCTGATAAAAGAAGATCAAACAGTTCTCGTTTTGCTTTGATACATTTGATTTAGTATCCAATACATGAAAAAAAGAGCAATAACACTTCGCATACATAAGCGTTCAAAAGAACAGACAAGAATTACCAGTTGCTAGGTGTGGGCCATTTGTACACAACGCTCCAACAATTGTTTTCATAGCAAATAGAACGGAATTTTCCGACAAGGGTATTTTCAATAAAAGAAGTTGAAATGGCGAAAAAGAAATTTTAAAAAATATAGCCAACAGATGGTTGAAAAAGTGTAAAAGGTTACAGATTGCGAAAAAAACTGATGGAAAACTTTTGAATAATTTTCACTTTCGAAACTTTAAAAACCATATCACATTAGAGCTCTTTGAAATTATAATCGGCACTCCGTTTCTATTTATAATCGGCTTTTTTTAATTATCCCATTTCGCAAAAACTGGAGTAATAGGTTATTAGTTTATTCCAATGGAAATTCCGAAAAATTAAGTCCACTTTGAAAGAAGGAGTCATTCACGTTTTTTTGGGACCTTTACACTTTTGTTCGATAATGAAGTTTGCCTTTCTTTTAACAAAGAAAATGAATTTTTAAAAATTCAGACCGCGAAAAATCAAATTTGAGCGTTAACAAATTTGTAGACATTTTCCTAAGAAAACAAGGATACCCGGTTGCTGTGCAAGTAACAGAGAATATTCCGACCACACTGATCAAAAAATTTGCTGTTATTTTCTTTTTCTTAAAATTGGCAAGCAAAATAGGACAAAAAGTAAGAAACATCGGTAACTATAGATAAACTACGGTTACAATGGGATGTCAGCCTCTCGTCTAATTTAGTCAGAAAAACGAAAGATGCAGACCATATCAGCTTTTCTACAAAAAGGGTAAAGCAGATTACGCATGAAAAATCGAAGCACCATGTTAGTTTTAATGAACTATCAACCTCACCAAATCAGCAGATTAGTTTTTGAAAACAAAGGGTATCTTTCCAAAAAAACGGGCAGATTTTCAAAAATTGGACAATTTCTAAGGACGCTTGTGCAGGTAAGATTCGCATAACTGATTTTTTTTCTTTCGGTTAACCCCTTAATCTCCAATTTGGCAGGGTAGTTTTTGAGAAAAGTCAAAAAAGCTTTTAAAATTAGCCAAAACGTCAAAAAACGGAATTGTTTGAGGCCATAACTTTGTTTCTGCGGAATTTAAAGTATAGCCGTTTGGGAATAGCCGTTTTGTTTGAAATCTCTATCTCAGATTTGAGCATTTAAAAACTGAGAAAATGAAAAAACTCAAAACCAATAGGCCAAACAGACTAGCGAAATATGCAGGCCGAAGAGCAGCCGGTATTTTCATTGGTTCCATTTTTTGTTAAAAACGGTAGTAGTTTTTGAGAAAAATTGAAATTTCTGCGAAAAGTGCAAAAAATTTCCAAAGCGTCGCAATACAACGAAATCAACAAATTCCATACATTTTCATCATATATGTTTTTTCGGACTTGACCTAACACTAGCCAAAAACTAAGCAGCAACATATGCCATTAAATTGTTTATGCTTAAATAGGCTTAAACTTGATTAAATTGAAATATTTGTTTGCGACTTAGGTTTAAAACAATTCTGCTAATGAAACACTACGCTTTGCTTGTGTAAAAATTCTTTTTTCAACTTTTTTGTAGAAATTGTTTCGAATTTTCAAAAATGGCGCTAACAACTTCCTTGTTCGCTCGAAACTAGACCAAATATCAAAAATTTTGAACCGGTTCTTCTCGACACTAGGAAAAAATTTTCAAAACTTTAAACTGTTCGAATCACGTCTGAAAGTTATTTAATTTGATATATCACTCGAACCATTACGATGATTATTTGTGGTAGAAAAATTTTCCACCTAATTTTGCGTGGAAAAAAAACCATCCGAGTCCATTTTCAACAGTCGGAACAAAAATCATCGGTACCTATACAAGAGTATGATTGTATGCTTATATGATTGGTTTTGTATTTTTGAGAAATACATTTTGTCGCATTCCTATGGGTTGACGTTGTCTCAATAAATTTCATTCAAACCTTGTAAAGAATTGCCCTCCCCCCATCCCCCCTATTGCAACAGGGGGCGGGCGGAAAAAGTAAACAAGATCCTCTTCTACTAAAAAATAACTCTATAACAGATATTTCAAAAACGGGTACTGCGCAGTAGTCAGTTATTGCTAAAATTGTCCTTTTGAAAAAAAAAATCGCTTTTTGCTTTAGCGCACGCGCTTACTTCACAAAACTAGTATAAATTAGCGCTGAAGGCGCTTGTAGAGAAACATTTTAGACTTCGTCGTCGAGAAATATCTGTCGTAAAATTGTGAGGAATTTTGGAAAAAGTTGGCAAATAGAATTAAAGAGGGGTGGCTGGGGCGGTCGCCATCTCCAAGTCACGCAACTGCCTGTTTATATATTTTAATAGCAATGACCGTTAATATGAAATGAAGAAGATAGGAAAGATATCAAACAAAACTGGTTTCGATTCTGTTAAGTTAAGTTTACAAATAGATGTTGATCGCAGCAAGAAGACGTTAAAAGCTCTCGCGCACACTTACAATTCCAGTGCGACTTACATATAAAACCGAATTTGCAAATGCCCACTCTTTTTTCTGAGACCATTGGCAAGCTATTAGGTCATAGCTCAATAGAGCCTCCTCAATAGCAGAGTAAACTACTTGACCTGCGAACTGGTCCAATGTAGTATGGCCCTAAAATTAACTAAAATACTAAGTAAAAACTTGGGTAAAAGTGAGATAGAGTTGTCGCAAGAAACTATCCGAGTCCCTAATGTAAATTGAAGGCCTCAAAATTGTTCAATTTAGTGCTTTGGCGATTTCAATTAAAGTATCGAAAAAATTTGCGCGAATGAGGCAGGTTATTTACGTTTCAGAAGTTTTAAGTTTCAGACCGGCGCATTTTGAATGAATTATTTGGGGTATTTGCTCAGAATGAATGTAATCTGGACCCCTCTTTCAGCTTGGTTTTTATCGGGACCCCTCTATCACAGTTGTACCAAAAAATTCTGCTACAACATACTTCAGCCAAAATCAACATTAATAACGACTTTTAACTCATTTCCTTTTGATGTTAAATTTACATTAATCTGAAAAGCGAAAAACAAAGCCATCAAGAAAAACTTCCTTATTCGCTCGATACTAGACCAAAAATCATTTTGAATCATTTTTTCGGATCATGTCATTTTATTATTTAAGAACGGAATTGGTCTTTGAACTTTAATTGAACTTACCAATAATCAAATTTGAACGAACAACTTCTAGGAAAAAATCAATACTTTGGCTACTGGAGAGCGTTACTTCAGCATTAGTAGAAAACTCATTTCAGAAGCGAGCTTTAGAAAACAAATTTAAAAAAACTCAATTTTGCATTGGTACCCAAAAAAACTAGATGAACAATTAAGCCCAACACAAGCCAACAGACAGTTGAAAAAGAGTCAACGAACACAAAAAATCCTGACTCGTTTTTAAATTTTTCAAATTTTATCACAGTGGAGAACACGACAAAAAGCAGCTCTATTAAGTAAAATAAGAAAGGAAAAACAAACCTCGAAATATTAAAAAATCGACAAGGTGTCGGATTTGATCCTGCGACCTAGAGTTTTTGAGCATCATGCACTAACACTCAGCCACGGACGCTTAACAATTATATTTATTTTCCAATAACACAGATCGTGATTATAGCAAAAATTATTTGCCAGTTAGGTAACAAAAATTATATTTGTACTAATACACTATGCTCGCAAGCTCGCTAGTAAAAAAATATATGGCCTTCTAATTTCCAGAACAATTTAATAAAAGCCCAATTTGAAAAAACTGGATCAACAGATAAAATTTCTATTCCGCTGGAAAATCTGAAAATTAAAACATACTTCCGAAACTAGAAGTCAATCACGTTTTTCGTGTCCTTTACACTTTTTCTGCTCTTAAGTGGATTTTGCCTTCCTTTCAACAAAGGAAATTAAAAGAACTTAAAACGAAATCAGAAGTCAAATAGCGAAAAACAAATTTTAACGTGAGCAAATTTTTCCTAAAAAAACCAAAAAATTCGCCGAGATTTATATATGGGTATTCACTACGTTCATGACTCTTAATAATCATTTTCTGACCTTTAGGCTTTTGCTTTTCGATGGTCGTGTTGACTTTTGTCTTCCTTTTAACAATGGAAATAATTAAACTTGAAAAGAAGTCAAACCGCAAAAAAGAGCAAAAATAACGCCACGAATTACATAATAGTCTTCACTGCGTCGTACATTGACTTTCAGATACAAACCTATTTGTGCATTAAAACTCACGTTATTTGAATTACATGTTTCAATCATGTCCTTTTAAACTTATTTATTACATGTAAAAGACTAAGCGAAAACAACTAAGTACCAAAAGCGAGTGAAATCCAGAAATCATAACATATAAGTTGCAACGTAGACAGGTCGTTGCCTTTTCTGTCCTGTCAAACTCCAAACAATTTTGTTGAGTTATGATCCTGGCGAAATCTCATTATAATCCAAAACAACCAAGAAAACGAATAAACCATTTTGAAAAAACTTCCCAGCAAATTGGCACTGATTGTTCCAAACAATGATTACTCCGCGACGCTACATAAACATATCAAAGATCAAAAATTTCCTCGGGATATTCCTTCTATCCCTTACGTTGTCCCTTTAGAAGTACAGTTCATGACAAGATCCGCTTTGGGCCTGATTTTTTTTGATTAATTACGAAGTTATTATATTCCTTAAATAATAATCGCCACTATTGTGATATGATCGCGCAATCTTAGAGCTAACAACTATCAAATAAATTGTAATAATTTCTTTTCGAATAGTTTTTGCCCTTGCTTCTCAAAACGTACAATAATAATTTGCAATAAGAAAATATTGCTTTGATTGCAAAACAGGTTCACTTAAGAAGCTTTATGAATTTTAAATTAAATTAAATACTTTCACGTTCAAAATGGAAAACACATCAAGGTACAATAAGTCATTTAAGAAATCTACATTCACAAAGCATATGGATGGAAATTACACTTTTTTTTCAATAAATACATGCATCAAACTGACATAATGTTGCATGCAGGTATAAAATAGAATCGAAACATTTGCATGTATAAAATAGAAATAATTGGGTGTTTTAATGGAGTAGAAAACTAAGAACTACTAACATTGCAGGTAGTAGTAGTTTTCACTCCATTTTCTTCCTTCTTTTCCACTTGTTCAGTAGTCTTGCAAGACTCTTCCTCTGGTTTGGGAGCCTCCTCTTTTGGTTTCTCTTCTTCGCCTTCCTTCTTCCCTTCTGGAACAACAACTTCTTCACTTTTGACCTCTTCCTTTTTCTCTTCTTCGACAACTTCTTCCTTTTTCTCTTCTGCTTCCTTCTTGTCGTCTGCCTTCTTTTTCGGCTCTTTGTCCTTATTCTTCTTCAGGGAACTCAGGAGCCCCAGGAACCCGCCCTTTTTCTTCTTCGGTTTTGTTTCTGTCGACTCAGTTGCAGTCGTGTTTGCTGATTCGGCTGTCGTGTCGTTTGCAGCTGGAGTTGTTGCCTCCGATTCGCCTGTCTGTTCCTTCTCGCCTTCGGCGTCGTCAGGAGTGGAAGAGAGAGGCAGCGTGGACGCTCTTTTCGTCTTCACTTCTTCGGTGGTTTCCGTCTCCGCGGCTGGCTCTGGAGTTGCAGCAGTTTCTGTTTCAGGCTTCGTTTCTGAAGCAAAAACAAAATGATCAATTTTAACTTTAAAAAATCATTTATCACGAATTTCAAAAACATAATATCAAAAACATCCAAATCCAATATCAGATCATATATGGTGTCTTACTATTTTGAAAGCCAAATAAGAACGAAAAAAAAATTAGTTCTATCGATCATTATCTAATGCTGGCACAAAACCCCATAATAGAAAGGCATATTTTTTGCTGCAACTTAATGCTTGTCTCGTTCTTTCCATTTATAATTCTTTAATTGTGCGTGGTTATGTTTGAGTGAGTTATGATATACCTTGGTCACTGGTAGTAGCTTCGGCATCTTTAGGAGTTTTTGCGTCATCCTCTCCCACTTTCTTCTCCTCGGCCGCTTTCGACTCTTCTACAACCACGGGCTTCTTGTGCTTCGTCAACTTGGAACCCAAAGTCCCCAGAAAACTCTTGCTTCTAGTCTTCTTTTCCTTCGGCTTCTTCTTTGATTCGGGTTTCTTTTCTTCTTCCGAGTCTTTCTTCTCGGCTGAAGTTGTTCCTTCGGCTTTCGCAGTTTCTTCTTCGGCTTTGGGTGATTCAGCGTCGGTTTTCGCCACTTCTACCGTTTCGTCTTTTTTCTCGGCGGATTCAGCAGATTCTTTCGTTTCTGTTGGCGTTGGTTTCTCTTCTGTTGATTGGGCTGGGGCTAAAATTGAGGAAAAAAATTATATAACAAAAAACAATCGTATTCAATATATTGGATAAAAAATCTTAAAATAAATCTTTGAGCTCAAGTAAATTATACAAAATTAATCAAACGCGTACGCAAGATTAATGTCGCGACCAGGTTCAGTTGTTTTGTTGACTATTTAACCCGAAAATTTGAAATTTAAAAAAATTTAGGAAAGATCGGCCAAAAATGGATTTGGCAAAAATCAACAAAGAAATTTTCCCAGTAGCAGAAATATTTTAACAAAAATATGAACGAAAAACACCAATTTCAAAATTAAATAAAAAAACGAATTAAAAAACGCCCAAATTGGTTTAAGTTACTAAAAATAAACAATGACTAACCCTCTCCATTTCTCATAAATTTCAATTTCAAATTCATCCTTGAATAAAATTTGCAGCTAATGCAAATGGGAAAGGAAAAGTAGCTAGATAAACAAGGCAGGATATGCTAAATGCAGATAGTTGTAAGGAATATATGATATTTTTACACAAGGAAGGAAAAAATAGCACCTCGGAGACTTGGAACTTTTAACAGAGAAGGAGAAATAAGAAGCGCAATGCACTGTTTTGGGAAGAGAGCTTCCGTCTTTTATTGCCAAGTATCGCTACGTGCTGCAACTGTAATATTATGTATATGTGCAAGTGCTACGGCGGTGAATAGTTGTTAGTCGAAAAATAATCTAATCGCGGGGGACAAATGAATGGGACCGCAACGCATACACACACACACAAAAATACACTTAGTATCTGACTGCGTTATGTTTCGAATGAGTGAGCAACCAGCCAGCAATCTATCGCGGAAATGCAAAATAGTCAACAGCCTAGCCTCTGGGGGGAATTTTTACTAAGGGGGATTTGGCCTGCTGATCGTGACGGGAGGTTACGCTTTGAATGGCTACAACAACCAACGCTTGTAAACTGAATGTTGTTATTGTTAACTTGTGAAATGTTATCTATGTTTTTGGTCCATACGTCGATCTTTCAAAAATGGCCCAATTGTTTAATCATATTCCAACTCACTTAATCGCTTCCGGCTCAAAATTTAATTAATAGAGCATTTAAATATAACTCGAAGCGTGCAATTGTAAATTCTATGCAATATGATATTTTCCAATTGAGTCCATTTATACTCAATTGCTATGACTAATTAGCGAGTGGTCACACAAACTTCCCTTGTGTATTACTACGCTATTGAGCTGGCGCCATAGGAAACGTTGCAACAATTGCGTATAATTGGCACTATTCACCTCTAAAGACCATTGAATAGGACTCTAAATTGGCGCCAATTCTGCCTTAGAAGTACAAAGTGGAAGATAAGAGTTTCAAAGGGACTACTTATCTATGCAACGTAGTGAACATCTGCTGGGATTAAGATAACTAACCAGGTGATGATTCAGATAAGAGACCAAATGAAAGATGGTTTTTTGACGGTATCAAAAATGACCTCAACCAATTGCACCTCATTTCATGCATTTAATGTTGACCAGTTTACTGCGCACTAAGACTCCAATAATAAATAATTTGAAGGGGAACTTACGCTAAAAAACGCTTTTGTCATGTTTTGACTGAAGAAAAAAGTAACAGAAAACTTTGATCAAATTATAGATCAGGAAAAGGACTTTGACCAAATTAATAACCGCACCCCCCTGAAAAGACTAAGTTAAAATCCTCCACCCACTATTTTAATTGGAATTGAATTGCTTAACTATAAGTTTATTCTCAATTTTCTCGCAGGAAACTAACTTAGAACCCAGTTAACATTCCCGACCCTGAAAAGCTCTAAGGGGAAATCTGTAACTTGGTGCGAGTAGCACTTGAGGTCAAATTAATCGTTAATCGGGTTCAAAAACTCGGGCCCACCTGATTCTTTGGTGGCTGATGATTCTGCATTTTGGGAGGGGGGAGGGGCGGAAGACGATGAAATTACTGCGGAGGTTTCTTCAGGAGCAGGGGGAGAAGCAACTGCTGCTGCTGCTGTAGTGGAGTCCTTATGTTCGCTACTGTCAGCCATATTCACCTCTTCCTCTGTGTCTTTGACGTTGTCCAATGGCAGAATTGCAGTGTCCAATGCTAGCGTCGAATTGCACTTCTAAAATTATGAAAACACAGATAAAAAATAGTTTTTGTACCAATGTGGCAGTCACAATCGAGAAACACAAACAAAAAGCAGCTCAAGAATGCGGGAGCGAATGAATAAAAACAAAAAATTGATTCTGCAGCGCATTAACAATTAATGGTATCATTCAAAACCCAGCGTTTTTATTTACAAAAAACTTTTCACTCAGAAAAAAAACAACAATATTACTACTATAAAAAACCAAGGCGTTAATTATTAATGTGGAAATCATTACATAAAAACTTTTATTCCACCAACCTTTTTAGAGGGTAAGGCTAATAAATTGAAGTTGAGATCAAACGCCTAAGAGTTCACAGTTTGTTCAAAATCAAATACTTCAGCAAGTAGAGATGCTCAAAGATCTTGGAGGATAAGTGGTATAAACAAGCGAACTCTTGAAATTTAGAAGCCCAAAGAGCACAACGATCTGTCTCTCCAGCTAGTATTTGGGATAAAAGTGACTTGCGCAAAAATTTGCAATTGAAGTTGAGAGCCACAATTCTAAGCGCATGTTTGAAATACTATTTGGGTGCAAATTTGACTTAGCTCAGCAAACATGTCTTCGTTTCCTAATAAAGTCTATTTGACAACAACTAAAGGTCAAAACCAGCCATTGAAGCGTGAGTGCAAACCTATTTAGATTGCATGCTTATATAAATAATCAAGAGTGATGAATACTTCATGTATTTAGGGCCTATCAAAGTTCCTTGTTTGCCATATATACCCATTACATTCATTCATGGGTCATCCGCAATGACGCAAAATTATAATTTCATTCAAATAAAACAATTTAGCAACAATAAAATGTTTGGCTGAAACGAAGGATCAAGGTTCTTGCAAAATGAGGGATCAAAATTGTTATTGTACTCAGAATCATAAAATAGTCTAAATATTTGGAAAATTTTCAAGGTATTTTTCGAAATTCTAAGAAAAAATAAACTCGTTGAAACTTTCTAAATTTCAAGAATATGTTACAATCAAATTTTTTAAATAAAGATTTCCCAATTTAAAAAAACTAGATCAATAGGTGAAATTTTTATTCCGCTGAGGTATCTCATAATTAAAGACCAGTTTCAGAACTAAATTTAACACAGAGGCGAAGCTCTGCTTCGCAAACAGAAGCGAAAACATGCCAAAAAGCAGCTTTATAAAGTGAAATAAGAAAAAAAAAGAACAAAAGCCTCGAATTAGTACAATTTTGCAACGTATCGGATTCGAACCTGTGACCTCTAGATTTGGAGTCTCACGCCCCGCCCTCAAGGCCACAGACGCTTTATTATCGGTAAACACTAGTCACGAATAAAGCAGCTACATATGCTAAGCAGCTACATATATTAACAAACTGCCAACGCGATGCAGCAAAAGTGGCAACAACAAATAGACACAATGTGCATGTAATAATTTCGAGTATAAGAAACTGAAGGCGTCCACAGAAACTATGCATGTAATAAATTGTAAAGCATTAAACCGAATTATGCATTTCAAAAAATTATGCATTTCAATTTATGCATTTCGATTCAAGCTGGATAGTGTTAAGTGTAGATGCAGTCAGACGAGAAAAACCCATGACTCGATTGGGCTCAGGTAGTAGATTACTGTCGTTAGTAAGAGTTTTAAGGTAATTAAAAAGTTTTGTATTAATGACGGCTGCGTTTGAACACTTGAAAAATTCTTTGAGAACTTTTTTTTAATCTGGCCTGTTGATTAAGTTTAATTAGATAGAGAGACCTAAAAGTAGTACAGCAAGGCAGGAGGTAATCCGGCGGAGTAAAATTTCACTTGGGGAAAATTGTCATTGCTCGTCTTTTACGCGTGGACAACTTTAGTTTTGGGTGGTTTATTTGTTCGTATCGTCTACTTGTAAAAGTTGACCCAGTCAAACAAGGGGAATAATGAATCTTAAATTACTTGTCGCCCAACCTTTGAGGGGTATGGTTTTGTTTTGGCCGAGAAGTAAATATTCTCATTTTGCGCATTTTTCTGTTCAAATGTGCGGTCCAATTTAGTTATAAAAATGTATAACCCGAAAAACAAGCATTAAAATTAAAAAGTAGTGAATTTGTTCCGTCTCCAAATTAAGTGCACGGACAAATGTCCTGTACAAAAACGTAGGACCAAAAAGACATTCGAAACAAAAAAAAACTATGTGCCTGTAACGATTCATAACTCCACTTTGAAAATTAATTAAACGGCAAAAACGTAATGGCGCGCAAACGTTCGTAAAAAGTACGAATGATGTTGAAAAAAAAACAAAAGAGTGAATAAGTGTCGGACATCACTTCGCTACTCAGTCGTTAAAAAGCCCTTTAAAGCACGGCATTAAAACTTCGTTTAGGTATAATTTGACTTTGTTATAACATGGCGCGATTAAAACTTGGATGTTTAGGATTAATGAGATTATTTTAATTTCGGTTCTAACATTTGAGATTTTGAAGCTCAAAGAGAAAGTCCAACCTGTGATTGTAAGATTAATATTAAGCTTTTATTCTAATTATAATTTTTGTGTTTCGCCGGGATGTTTAAGGGTGGATGTGACTTTGGGTTCCAAAAAAAGGAACTACCGTTTATTCTGGTTGCGAAGCTCGTTTCGGTACATCACCAAGACTTCGCATTCGGAAAATTTAGCTTAGAAGAGCAATTGAGGCGATGTCATTTTTCACCAATTTCCTCCGTATCTGGGAACACTTCACAGAGAGATCGATTGCGATCAGTTGAAGCTGGACAGAAATAAGTGTCGATTCAGACGGAAAAACCTATGACTCGATGAGACTAAAGTGGTAGATTACTGTCTTTAGAAAGAGTTTTTGAGATAAGTAAAAAGTACTGTATCAATGGCGGCGGTGTTTGAACTCTTGAAACACTTTTTGCGAACACTGAGAGTTGTACGGCAAGAGGTTTTTGGCGGTGTAAAAATTTAATTGGGGAAAATTGTCGGGGTTTTTCAGTAAGTTGGTTCGGGATAAGGACTGTTTCACTATCCTCTATCCTCTTCTAACTATTCATTAGGGTTTATTGAGTCAAACAAGTCGAATTGTAAATCTTAAAAGATTTGCTGCACTATCTTTGTGGGCGATGGACTTGTTTTGGCCGAGAAATTTTCTCGTTTTACGCATTTTACTGTTTAAATAAGCCGTCCAATTTAGTTTTAAAAATGTATACCCCGAAAAACAAGCATTAAGAATTCAAAAGTGGGAAGTTTGTTCCATCTGCAACTTAAGTGCACGTACAAAATGTCATGGACAAAAACGCAGGACCAAAAAGACATTCGAAACAAAAAAAACTATGTGCCTGCAACGATTCAAAATTACACCTTGAAAAATAAACAAAATGATTGAACGGCAAAAACGTACAAGCGCGCAAACGTTCGTAAAAAGTACGAATGATGTTGAAAAAAAAGGATGAATAAGTGTCGGACATCACTTCGCTACTCAGTCGTTAAAAAGCCCTTTAAAGCATGGCATTAAAACTTCCTTAAGGTATAACTTTACTTTGTTATAACATCGCGCGATTAGAACTTGGATGTTTAGGATTATCGAGGTTATTTAAATTTCGGTTCTAACATGTGATTGTAAGATTAATATTAACCTTTTATTCGAAGAAAAAGCCAAAAGAATGCCGCGAAAAGCAAAAAAAGGCGACAGTCTCCCACTTTTCCTCCCTTTAAGCCTTGCTTGAAAACAAAAAAATCTAAACCTACAGATAAAGAATCTCACGTCTTGCCGCCTGCGCCATGTCCTCTTGCATTTAACAAATCACTAGCCACTAACTAAGCGGATATCGAACCCAAAATGCTATTTAACACATGCACTGCAGCAAAAGTGAACAATTATAATATTATATATTTTTATTTGCGACTTGGATTTAAAAAAGAAAAAATGTGTGTATTGGTATGATAACATTGCAATTGCTTGTGTAGTAGCAGATAGTGATTTTTGAATAAAACAGAAAATTTTTGATCCAGACTGAAAAATTTTTGATTTTCTGCAACCAATTCTATGACAAATATCAAACAACTTCACAAAATACGGTTAGGAAACCGCAATTCAAGTCTTATATCACTATGCAACCTAACTTTGAAAACATAGCTAACAAACAATTGGAAAATGAATGCAGAAACTGAAAAAAAAAACACTTAACTTTTGAAAAAAAAACTTCAAATTTCGAAATTCAAGTATAAAATATATGGCCTTTAAGCTCTTTGAATCGCAAAAACCAATAGCCAATAACGAATCTCTTGTGCTTCGAAAACCGTATAAACTGCTTATATATAAAATATATCCAAAAACAAGGAAATGGAAGCAACTGTAACAAAAGACGCAGGTATCTAACAACGCTTTTGATTTCAAAAATTGAACGATAAAAAATTTCAACTTAAACGTGTTCTTTTTAACTAAAATGGTCAATTCTCCAAAACTACTGAAATTCTGATCTTCCCTAAAATGGCCGTCAGTGTACAACAGATATTTTCTATATTTAATAATTTCATAGCCAAAAATATAGCCAACTGACAGTTGGAAAAGAGTAATGAACGCAACAAAACTGAAAAAACCGACTTGTTTTTTCAAAAAAACTTCAACTTTTGAATTTCGACGAAAAAATTAGATGCCCTTAAATCTCTTTAAATTTGTAGAACAATTTATAGTGGACGTTTTTGTTGTGAAAATTAACCCAATTGGAGCTTTGGCTGATTTAAACTTTTTTTTAAATCAGGTGTTTTGAAATCACAATTGATATTTGACACAGAGGCGAAGCTGCACGTCAAATGCCCCGACGACAATTATACACGTATGAAAATCCAAGAGAAGTAAAAATTTTTTAATACTTATATTTATATTCTGTAAATTTCCTGTTATCTTTATTTTCGCAACTAGTTTAATTAAATTGCGAGTTCAGTCTCTTGTTGCTACATTTGCAAATTTCGTGTCGAATAGTCTCAAAAACGAAAACATTCAGAAGAAATGTAAGAATTCAATTCAAATAACCAGCAAAGAGGTTTGATATGAGGCCACAATTGATCCTCTATCAGCCTTTCTTGAAGTACTTAAAATTGCGCGAAAACCTATGCAAGTAATTAGAATTTGGGAGGAAATAAGCAGATTTGAAATAAAAAAATTTACTATAAAAGAATAGGATAAATTTACTATAAAAGAACTTCAAACATAGTCAACGGATAGTTGGAAAAGATTCAATGAAAGCAAAGCAACAAAAATTGACTTGTTTTGAGAAAAAACTTCATCTTTCGAAGCGCAAGAAAAAATATATAGCCATAAAGTTCTTCTGAAATTCTAGAACAATTTATGATTGACACTTTTTTGATAAAATTACCCCAATTTAAGAAATCTGAATCATTAGTTCAAATGTATATTCCGCAGGGAAATCTGAAAACTTAAATCCATTTTCGAAGTTAAAAGTCGATTACGATAATTTGTGATAAATATCGAGACGAAATTAAATCGAAACAACCGAGACAATCACCCGATGCCCATAGACACTTGTAAATACGCTG